GAAAAGGCAGGGAAGTAGAGTTGAGGATTATCAGATCAGCCATTATCTCTGAATGGTGGAACAGATTTGATAGCTTAGTAACCATCTTTTCCTACATTGTATGGTCTTATAACGAACCTCAACCTTAATTCCACTTTCCCAACCAATCCCCATATCCATTAAAGTCCAAAAACATATCCATTTGAATGTACATAACTACCAAACATCTGCAGCTCTGCAGACGTAGAAATTCTTCGCCTCAAATTGGACTGAGAAACATCCCAATGTCTCTTCTAATATGGGACTCTCCACCTCTCAGCACCTACTCTTAAGAATTTTTAGCATTTCCAAATTATTTTAAATCCCAGAGGATATAGGTCTATTCTACTCAATCACATCATCATAGGATAACTCCCTCTCCCACTGCAAACAAACAAACAAACAAACAAACAAACAAACAAACAAACAAACAATCTCATGAACATGTGGGTGGGGAAATGGAGACAGTCCAGTTTGCAGCCATCTTGCATGGATTTACTCGTGGTGGGTTGGAACAGAACTATTCAGAGAAGCCAAGCTTCGATGTGAAGCAATGGATTCAGATTTTGACGATAATGGGGCTGAGGAAGGTAGTGGGTTAATTTCTAAGCACTTACCTTTTAAATCTACTTTATTTAGCTGATTAAATTTGATTTTATATACCATGATTAATGTTAATTTAGAAGAATGATGGGTTCTGAGACATGAAGTTTTAGTGAGGTGGAAAAATCTTTTTCAATAACTCATCCTGTATGCACTTTTGGAAACTGTTCAAAGTCTGCTTCACTGACCATTTTTGTAAGCTCTTTCACAACGACGTCTCTCACTTGGATGGAAAATAAGTCCTGTCTGATATCTTCAATTCAGTCATTTTGGACCTACACCCTTTGTTTTTGAATCCTTCACATCTGTAATCATTGAGTGGGTTTGAAAATCCATGGAACCCAAGCTTCCAAATTGCATGCGTGGTTATTTGAAACTACTCTGCAAAGTTTATCATGCAGCAAGAATCCATCAGTATGGTGGATTCTATTTTCTGTCTAGGCTTGGAGAGTTAACTCAAATGAACCAAAAATATGTCCGTCCTGTTTTCAAATTTACAATAAACCTACTAATGACAACAACCTAGAATTACTTTGCTGCTTACTGCTAATTTGTATGCTCAAGAGATCTACATATTATAAATTAAGATACTAGTAAAAAAAAATTGCTTTTGAAACTTAAAACCAGCTGCAGAAAATGCTGGTTTAAAAACTACAGATTTAAAATATGTGAACGTCCATTATAATGAAAAAACCCAGTGGTAAAAGAAAACCAAATGAACTATCTCTGATGCTGATTCTTAAAAAGAGGTCAAAAACATCTGATCCTGTGCATGTCAGCTCGCCTCAGCAGAGCTCTTGTCCACAAAATTTGCTGCTTCAAATCCTACTGCAGACCTTGAGCACTAATCTTGGTTAATATTCCAGTGCAGCGAGGAAGTGTTGCATTGATTTGAATGACATGTCAAAACTGAAATCCAGTTCTATCTATTCTATTGGTTCAGGTGGATATATTTGAAGAGCAATGTGTTCTCCTTGTATTCCATTCAGAATTCTCATTAAACCAACAGATTAAGTGATCATTTATTTTTTCTATTTGTAGGATCATGCTGTATGCAGACTAGCTGTTGCATTTGTCTACATAATACCAACCTCAAGTTAAAAGCAATTCCCTGCTTGTGACAAGACAATCCTCAATTTTAAAAGGATATAAATTAAGGCAAAGCTTAAGATCTTTACCCAAGATTGCCATACAAATTCAATTCTGTATTTTACTGCTAATTCTCATGAGAAGCACAAAGTTCAAAAAAAAGGCATGGAAACAAACACCCTCATTGTGATTATTTCTGATGCTTTGGTACTGTACAGGGTAATTTAATTGTCATGACTTCTAAAAAAAGCATGTTTAAACTGTAAAATTGAATTTTGCTGGCACCTAATATGATCATGAAAGCTGTGGTAGGTTGTAAAATTCTAATTACCTTTTAAAAAGGGACAATTGCTACATGTGACTTCAGTTCCATCCTACATTGGTCAACGTTGAATATCTGCGGTGCAGTTTTGCATTGCAAGGGGTACTCTCAACTCAAGAACACAAAGGCAATCACAAATTATTGTGTAAAACAAACCACTGGTCTGTTACAGTAATACCTTAATGTTTAAAGTAACAAATTGACAGTTTGAATTGGTACCAAAGACCATTCATTTTGAGAAAGTTGGTAGGTGAGTGCTCTAAAAGGACCAAGCAGGGTGGGCTTAAGTCATTTCCCAAATATTCATGTGTTATTTCAACAAGGGAAGGGGTAAAGCACTGCTCAAAGCTACCACATGTAGTCTAGTTTCACTCAACAGCCTATGGATAATGGAACAGATCACAGCCAATGGGATATAAAAGCTTGTTATAGCACTATGAATGACAGAGTGCCATTTTCAATTGCACAGCACCAGCCTCCTAGTTAGAGTCTCACCTGAACCGAACTTAATGAACTAACCTGAAGGGACAAGTTTTACCAATTTTGAATTTGATTCAGAAGTAAGCAAATAATGCAGTATCAGCAAATAACAGAAGAGAAAGGGTAAATTGGCAGGAGTTTTGATGATCAGGGAATAATAGTTATAGAGTTGTAGAGAAAATTAAAATAGGAGGCAGAAAATGGAACAGAATACAAGAACAAAAATGATACCTTATTAATGTATCATTTTGTTGTAATTTATGCATTAAAGTTAATATTCGAAAGTGGTATCAATGGGAACTTTCTGGAATTTAATTTCAGAAACAGATATTGCAAGTGAAATGAATATGAGTCAGGAGTGAACCTCCCAGGTGTTAAGTACAGGTCGTGAACGGTTACCTCCAGACCCTGAATCCACATTCACTATGATCAATGAAAAACTTTGCATCGAGCACTGCAGAGGTGAAGCACACAGCAGTCTCCCCCCATATCAAATGCTGCAAAGAAAGAATATGCAGTCTTCAAACTACATCAATCCTATCATGGCGCCAGTTACTGAATCGCACGCCCGTGTTATGAGGCACTGAACTTTAAACGCTGCAAAAGTCTGGGATTCAAACCCATTGAATGCCAAATGGAGCCAGGCACTGAACCTCACTTAACACTTCAAACTCAAGAATCCCAATTGCAATGTTCTGGAAATAACTTTATTAATAATAATAAAACAAAGTTACAATACTGAAAACAAAAAAAAACTGTACACACAATATACAGGTGAGCATATCAAACTACCAGATGGTTAAAAAGTCGGCTCCACAGACACTAAAAAAACCCTAAATGCGCACAGCGAAGCTGAATAAGCATTCTCTGATGCAGAAAGAGTTAAAATTACCATGAACTTTTCACCTCCAAGTAACACCAAAATTATACTTTTGCCTACTTTTCAAGGTGATACTTGAGACAAAATAGTATGTACACATGGGAAATGAATAAAAATCTTAAGGAATTTCAGTTTTTAAAATAAATGCAAAAGACAAGTGTGAAATCGAGTATTCTAGCTGTTGTTCTGAGCAGACTCTAATACTCCGCTGCCTCAAGGGGAAGTGCAATTAATATCAATGAGTCTGTCATAATTGAGTCTACTTCTACTGAATTTGCACTGTGCTAGAGTCAGGTAATTTATCATTTAAATGAAAGTCCTATGAACAGTCTTGGTGTTAAAAAGATCTGAAAAAAGTTTATGACACAGTGACAAGTCACAAGTCCTGTACTGGGAAAGCTATAAAATGACGGAACATCTGGGGAAAAAGCCTTGCTTTTTTTGTGTAAATATATATATAAAGTAATTTTTCAAAGCTAACGTAAGTATAAACTGAAACATGAGGCAACTGGGCACTAAATTACATCTCTGCTCACCTCTACCAGGAATGTTGGCTGTCACATACGTGACAGACATTTCAAATTGAATAGACTCACCTTTAGATCATGAAGCTGCTCCAGTTGTTTCCGTATCAGCCAAAAAAAAAATCAAACTCTTGAAATTAAGACTGCTTATTCTAATGTATTTCTTTAAGTCCTTAAGAATTGTAAACAGCACTCACTCTAATGTGCACAGATATCTGGAGGCCGATTGTCACTCTCTTCTGGACTGACAACACTAAACACTTAGGCAGATTCTATAGCAAACTGCTTATGAAAGCATCAGCTGGAACTGGAAACTTCCATTTTATAAAATCATGCGACAGTTTGTAACTATAATTTACCGTTTACAGAACTCATTTAAATGTGTGGGCCCAGGAAGTCACAATACCAAATGGTGACTTCTAGATTGTTCAATCCTTTAACTGCTGTACTATCAATTGTGATCACGTAATTGTGCAAGTGCATGATTTATAGATTTTGCACATAACTGCGTGCAACTGGGAAGATGCTATTTACATGTTAATGGCTTAAATATTAGTCTATAAAATGCCAAAACACATGGGGAACTGCATCGGTTCCCTCTAGATAGTTCCTAAGATAATCCATCAGTACTGTTAGAAGGAATATAGAACAAACAAGTGAAGAGTTGAGGCTTCATCATTTCTGTACGTGACACCTCCGCTCCCATCCTTCAAATCAGATTTACAATATACTCACTCAGTCAGTCAGTTTTAATGGCATTCAACCTAGCTTCCCCCAGATGCTGAGAGAAGAGGAGCATAGAGTATAACAGGCTCCCTCAAACTGTGGAAAGAAAGGGACCGAGTTCTCACAAATGTAAAAGAACTCTTGGAAATGGAAAACAGGAGAAAATGCCTTTAAACGGGCAATTTCACCCTGAAAAACTGTTGTCATTTTCAAGTGACATATGGGTATACCATGTAGTTTTGTCAGTACAGTGTGGGTGTGTTCTGAATATAGCTGTGTTAGCAGGTCAACTATGACTGTTTTAGTTATTGTTCAACTTGCATTTTGCTATTCATGTGTCTAAATAATCTGCTCTTACCTGGGCCCTCAAAAGGTAATAATTTGGAGTGAATCGGGTCATTAGCAGCAAGCGGAATTAGATAGAGGTCCTTGATGTGCCTGGCATTATTTGCCACCACGCCGAAACGTCCCCGGCTGTTGAAGTAGGAATACAGCGAGATGTAGGTGACTTCCTCTTCCTCCGTGGCTGGGTGAAATCGAATTAGACAGACCTCCTGCATTCGCCATGGTAAGGAACAGAAACAAAAAGGGAGAAACAAACTTTAAAACAAAAGCTGGGCTAGAACTAACAAGTAGCCCCATCGCCCCAAGGAATCCCTTGTCGCCCAAATCTCAACAATCTCATACAAGATTCTAGGACCAGAGGAACAAGAGACCACCATCCTGCCCTTCAAGCCTGTTCCACCATTCATTGAGATTATGACTGATCTGTCCCTCAATTCCAGTGCCTTGCCTGACAAACTCCGCTTGGACACACACACAGGAGTGTGTCATGCTGAGCAATGTTCTTATCAGGTTGCACTGCCAGCATGTGTGCCTTGGAAAGTCAAATCCTTTAACATATTTTTCAACTACATATAAATTTGTCCAAACTTTTTACTAACAATGTTTGCCTATACAAAATGTGCACTGCAGAGTTTCAGGAGCTAAAAACTTTAAGATCCTCATCTAAACTGGGCTGGATAACTGCATGAATTAATTTAAAGCCTTTCCTCATTACCTGCTCTCTAACGTCAATCAGTTGCTTATTTCATTCATAACAAGCAGTACTTAGCAAGTAAAATCCTGTAGGCACTTCTAGATTTTGGTGAGTAAGGAAAAATTTAGATGCATGCACCTTGTAGCCAGAGACTTGTGCTACAGTGATCTGATTGATTAAAATGATTAATTTGGTTCTAAATAAATAGCTCTATCCCATTTCTCACCTTACAGTGTTCAATCAACACTGCATCCTCTGTTTCCAGCTGCATACTCCAACTACCAACATTTTCTTTCACGCCTGCATTTAGGCTTTGGGCTTACAATTATAAAGCGATCCAAAGCCTTCTGAAGGCCTCAACAAAAAGTTTGTCCCTTATGTAGTCACTTACCTTTGAATGGGCATGGCTCTGTACATGTGAGATGCAAATCTTTAATAGCTGAAGGGTCATAAATTTCAGTAGCCTTCTATGCAAACAGATTCTATGAACCAGCCATAAGTGACAGCAATCATAGTTTAAATGATATTCATGAACTGGCTGGACAGCTTTTGATGTGGTCAGCTCCTGGTCTGGGCCTCACAATAACCTCACACAATAGCCCCAGCAGGATGACTGCCAGAACTGCTGAATCAGTTCAGCATGGTTTGATCCAGCTGGTAAAATTTTAAAGCACTTCAAATTGTTTAAGGAACGAACTGAATGGAAACAGAAATTTCTAAGAATCAATACAGTTTATATAATAATATCTAAAATACGCCTGTGAAGTGGTTTGGGACAGTTCATATCAAAAAGTGTCATATAAATGCATCAGAGACAGTGGGAACTGCAGACGCTGGCGAATCTGAGATAACAAGGTGTAGAGCTGGATGAACACAGCAGGCCGAGCAGCATCAGAGGAACAGGAA